GTGGCAACTAGTATGCAAGATAGATGGCCTAGACCCTAGTTTGGAATTATTGCAACTTCATGGTGGCAGGGCTCAACAACATAGTATTTTAAAAAGCACTTGGTGCTTCTTCTGTTGAACTGTACTGAAGAGTTTTGAACTTTGCATCATGATTCAGATTTTGTTGGAGATTTTACCACCTTCATTACCACCACATTGGATCGTTGCATCATATTTTAAGAAGGAAAAAATCTCTTAAAACTACCCGGATGTCTTAGCTGGAGCATATGAAACTATTTGCTTTATGGCATTATTTGCACAGAATATATGTATCACTTTATTTATTTTGTCAACCAGGACTACTTTTTGACTTCCCAGTAAGATTCAGCATGCTACCTTTAGTTTATAAATATAGCTGAAGCCCTACATTTATTTTTAAAAAAAGAAAAAGAAAACATGCTACAACTTCCTCTATATATTCAAGGAGTTCAGTTAATAAGTGCTCCTCAAAAGTCAACTCTAAGGCTAAAGTTTGGGGCAGATGGTATTCAATTTCTCTTTGTAATTCATGACTTCTAGATACCTCTGTCTTTTTTTGATTCAGGAAAGCAACTCATGTTGCAAAGTATTTCAACTTGGTAGACAACAGATAGACAATGAAGGGTTTGTTTATTTTTGTTTGTTTTGTTTTGTGGGGTTTTTTTTGTCTCAAAAATGTTAAAGGCAACCTCTCTAAACCAGCTGGCTACTTTTCATTGCCCTTCAAACCCAATGCCTGACTTTTTCCTGTTCTAAAATGTGTAATCAATTTTTCTTGAATTTAAAAACACCCAGGAATAGGCTTTCCTCCTTTATTGTTCCTCAAGTTTTCCTAGGGAAAATGAAATCCATTGCAGGGATTACATGTGTAAAATTAAAGTAGGATCACAAATTAAAATTTCATGTAGGGCTCAGAAGCTAACAGTTGCAAAAGTTGAGGCCTGCTAGAAAACAGTGACTCTGGAATGAATTCTTACTCTGTAGACTGATTAGGGTTTCAGTCTGCTGGAGGATATTTTTGAGCTCCTTCTATCACTAGAAACTATTAAAATGGGTTATTTTTACTCTACTTATTATAGAAGTGGTTTAGAAAATGCTAACCTGGAAGGGGCAAAGTGTCTTTCACCAAAGGTTTCCAGAATCCCAATCAAACCCATTACCACAAGCCGTGAGAGCAGCACCTTTTCATCACTACCGTCACAGCTGTGGTTGTGCTGTTGTTATTGTTGAATCTCTCTGTGTTCAGCCTGCTGTTATTACCGTAATTCACCCTAATGTTGTGTGATTAGCACCCTCTGTTGTGGTGAGAATTAAACACCACTCACATTTCAGTCTGTGACCTTTCGCCCCTTGTGGAACCGGCCAGGGTTGCTTTGGCCGAGAGACAAAATGCAGAAACCCACATGGTGCCACCTGCATTCTCTCAGGCTGAAGGATAAATGGAAAATTTCACTTTCCAACTTCATGTGTTGATCTCTTAGCAGCTGTATTATGAGAGTTCAATTCCTCCACCTCCCTCAAAAAACTAATTTATTCTCATCCTGGAAAGATTTTAAAAGGATTGCGTAAAGTGTTGCTGTAGTGCATTAATGCAGAAGGTGAAGTGATACTGTTAATATAAAGATAACCGTTCTTAAATTTTATCTGCAACATCATCAGTAGATTAACTGCATAGTGGACATATAAAGAAGAGATTTGAGGAATCTGATCCTTCTTTGTCTTAAACTAAAGTCAGTACAGATGTGACAAGACCACTGAATGACAATTGGCAAGAATGTGCAAATAACTAATCATCCTCTTTATCTAAAGGAATATAACTGCTTCCATGCTGGTGTCCTAAGTTTTGTGGAACATTGTTAATCATAAACACTACAGAAATCTGTTATTTAATTTCACAGACCTCTCAGATCATAGCAGCAACTAGTCAGAATTAGAAAATTATTTCCTTACAATTAATACGGCAGGATGAAAAGTAGTAAATAGTGGATTTTAAAATATATGAAAAAATAGGCATTTATAGAATGTTGCTATTTACCACTTCTGTACTGACGAGATGGATGATACGTAGCATAATGAGTTAAGCTTTCTCTAGCACTGTGCAAAATCTCTGCATCTTTTCTAATTACCACTTCCTACAAGTCAGTGCAAAGAGGGATAGACTCACTTGGTTCAGCTCAATTTCCACAGCTTGACAGGCATTGATATCAAAATTAATTCTAAGATGAAACTTCATAAAAGAAAATCCTATTTGACAAAAGAACTATTGGGCTTGAATCACAGTTGCATTTGCATTACGAAGTCCCATTTTTAGTGTATATCAAATAATACCTAAGGAGAGATTGAATACCCAGAGAAAGTTCATTTGAGGCATCCTGATAGTATCTGCCATATGCAAGTAAAGCAGAAGACGTTTTTATGACATCCTCAGAACTTGAAGATTGAATTACAGTTTTAGTAATCATCCGTTCCCCTTCTCCAGTGTCACTTTTTGGTAATATATTGCATAGAAAAGACTTATGGTACCAGTTTTATAAGCTTGCAATAAAAATATAACAACTGTTGTATTAAATTATTTAAGTTGTAAACCATTGTGAAAAAGGAGAAAAAGTTTTATCGACAAGGAGGCTGAAAAACTGATTATGATGGAAAGCAAAATGTATTGTGCTGATTACTCCCAAGTTTTCCCCTGGTTTAGCATATTGTAAATCTTCAGGATATCTTTCAAATCAAGGTCTGGGTATGTGAGGTTCTTTTATTTATTGAATATTTAGAGCCGGCCAATGGCGAGAGAAAAATAGAACCTATGTATTTCTAGATTACCAATTTACTTTTAGCAGAGTTACGAATGCAAATAAAGAAGAAAAAGCAATATAGACAAATAAAAGTTTCTTTTTAACTTAAAGAAACCTAGTAAATATGAAGTGATTACATTTCTCCAGAGAATTTTAGACTCTAGAGATTCTAATCTTTCTAGAAAATTTTCCCTTACCCTATATTGATTTTATCGGCACTCATTACCTATACTTTAGCAGACTGCTGTTTCCTGCTGCTTGCAAAAGATTCTAGGCTTTCCTCCAGGATTATTCCATCATGGTTCCATTAAGCGGTCCACCCTTCCAATACCAGGCTTCTTCCAGAACTTTTTGTTCACCAGTGCCTACTTCCCCTTGCTTTTCTAGTCCCCACCTAAAAATCTGGATCCATCCTCTGGCTTAGTCAGAATGCCAGCATTCCGTATTTACGCACTCCCACGCTCCCTCCGTGCCTCTGTGATAGCTGGATACTGAAACATGGCTCAAAGCAACTACACACGCACACACACACACCCTTAGCCACCTAGAGGAAAAAAGGAATGCTCTTGATTAAATAATTAGATTTTATTTCTCCAAAGGAAATCAGAATAGGGAATTCTATATTCATATTTCTACCTGGTAAATCAAATCACCAGGAGATAAACAATAGCTGGGGTTAGTCAATTTTTTGGTGTTGTCCAAAACAGTAATTCTGGTACTCTTACTTGCTGCTAGAGATGTTTTCTCCCTCTCACCTAGACTCAACAGCATCAAGATGGCCATATTCTCATTTAGATGGCAACGATGCTATACAATGGAACTTATATGTGCCAGAAACCATATTTAAGTTACTTAATCCTCTCAACATCCAAATGAAATAAGTATTATTCTGATTTTACAGATGAAGACATTTAAGTCTTATTCAAAATCACATAACTGAAAATTATTAGAATCAGAATTCAAATTAAGCACATGGTATTTGACTGTTTACCAACTATACTATACTAATACTTCATGATTCAATCTCTAAGTCAACATCACCAAAATGAAAGATTTAATAAAGAAGTGTGTAACACTTCATATTCCTCTCTGGATTCTCCTATTCACCCATCTGTCATGCATTTGTTAAAAGCAGGTAATATGCCAGATTATATCCTTTGTCTGAAGATCTAACAAAGAATAGCACATAGTTACTGCCTTTATTCTTTATTGGGAAGGAAAACTGGTCAATGATTGAAGGTCACTATGACGTAATTGAAATGTAGACAAGGTGCTACGAGAACACTGGGAAGAAATTAAAATCCAAAGAATTTAATGTTTGTACTTAGTGGTAACCTTCTCTGGGAGAACAGAAAATCCTTACAGGGGAATCCAGCAGAGCTTCTTCCTTAACTAAGATGTTCTGCAAATGTAACTGTCTTTCTCCCTTCCCCGGCCTGAGAAGGAAACCACTTAGTTTGGTAAACTCCACTCATTACCCGAAACCAACAGATCTCCCTCCTTCCTCCCACAACTCTGGCTTTATGGCCAGGAGCATGCAGATCAGTTTGGAGCAATTTTGGTCAACAATTTGGAACTGGAAGAAAATTCTCTTGGGCTACTTTCCTGACATCTGGAATCCAGGAAGCCAAATTGCTTGGTTTAATTAGAACTTCCTACCCCCTCCCTCCTAACCCCACAGCAATGGGACTTGAAATTAAGTGGTCACAAACATATGGATAACTATTAACAAAGGTGCCAATTCCCTGGGCCACCCCTAACATATGACCTCTATCATCAAGACATTCTACCAAACTGGCTTCATTATATCTACATGGCCCAGCAGTAAAAAACAATATACTGTCTCCTATACAACATTCAAAGATCACCATAGTCTCCTTCTGAGAAAAGGTCGGAAAGCACTAGAGACTTCCAGTTTTCTATATGAATAAGAACCATGAGCTTGCATTCACAGTACAACAGTCACTATAGGTAGCTGACACTATGTTGGGCTTTCTGGATACATAGTTTCATAGAAGAACCAGAAATTGAAAACACCTTAGTAAATAAAAGGTAGCAAAACTTAATACATGATCCAGGATGGCTAGAATCTCTTTTCTGTAATTCAGGTAGCCAGAGATTTTTTTTTTCCTCCTTAACTAAGAATCGCTAGTATCTTTGTAGTAAAAGCCTATTAATTTTTCTACCAAGACAGGAAAGAAATGGATTGTTTGGCCTCTGACAACAACATCGATGGGCCTAGAACTAAAAAGATCTTGGAAACAAGGTTGCCTGACCCATTTTGAATAAATAAGGTAATTAGGAGCTTCAACAGGTTGAGGGCTGAATGGGAGGGGATCTTCAGAGAGTTCCTTTGACCCAGAGTGATGAGATCATATAGCCATAGAGCAGGGCATAGGTACTACCCAAAGATCTCTAGAGGCCGGGCGCAGTGGCTCACGCCTGTAATTCTAGCACTCTGGGAGGCCGAGGCGGGAGGATTTGCTCGGTCAGGGGTTCGAAACCAGCCTGGGCAAGGGCTAGACCTCATCTCTACTATAAATAGAAAGAAATTAATTGGCCAACTAATATATATAGAAAAAATTAGCTGGGCATGGTGGCGCACGCCTGTAGTCCCAGCTACTCAGGAGGCTGAGGCAGAAGGATTGCTTGAGCCCAGGAGTGTGAGGTTGTTGTAAGCTAGGCTGACACCATGGCACTCACTCTAGCCTGGGCAACAAAGCGAGACTCTGTCTCAAAAAAAAAAAAAAAAAAAAAAGATCACTAGAGATGCCTGCATTGGGTTAAAAGCCTCCCAAAGAGCAAGTTAAGGGTAATCATCTAACCCAGGAACTGCCAGGCACAATATTTCTTTATAGAAGCCATATAGCCGGTAACAAACTGGACTTGGAGTTTTATGTAATAAGAAAAGATTAGAACATTATAGTCTATACTTTAGAAAAGATCTGAAGGCAAACAAAGACAGGAGATCCACACACATACATTATCTAGAAAAGAAATGTTTCAGCCTGGCATGGTGGCTCACGCCTGTAATCCTAGCACTCTGGGAGGCTGAGGCAGGCAGATTGCTCAAGGTCAGGAGTTCAAAACCAACCTGAGCAAGAGTGAGACCCTGTCTCTACTATAAATAGAAATGAATTGGCCAACTAATATATATAGAAAAAATTAGCCGGGCATGGTGGCGCATGCCTGTAGTCCCAGCTACTCGGCAGGCTGAGGCAGCATGTTTCCTGAGCCCAGGAGTTTGAGGTTGCTGTGAGCTAGGCTGATGCCATGGCACTCACTCTAGCCTGGGCAACAAAGTGAGACCCTGTCTCAAAAAAAAAAAAAAAAAAAAGAAAAGAAAAGAAAAAAAAATGTTTCCACAGTTTATTCTACAAAGGAAAGAATATACAATAGCCTGGGGCAAACAATCAGAAATCAACTGGGTTTGCATTGCAGAAAAATGGCATACAGAGGTAAATATTCTATGACTTGATACAGCAGGACTTGAAGATAGCAACTCGAAGGTGGTTACTGTTTACTATAGGAGATATAAATATGGGCATATCTATGAATAATAACTAGGACTGCTGACAATGCAATAAATTTTCACCTTACACATACCTTCAGACAGTAGGTGGTAATATCTTTGAATATAAGAGACAATGAATCTATGGAGGGGACTTAGTTAAAAGTACTGGTTTGTTTTCTACCAGCTGTCAAATAGGCCTCTCAAAACTCCTTTAAGTATTGGAAACAGTGACCTGGGGGTGAAAGACTCCTAGCCCAGGAACTGATCCCTTGAGCCATCCAGATCTCAGTCCCTGACGATTTTGATTAATCCGTGCTGACAAACCAGATTTGGATCAATAGAAATTATGTGTAACAAGAAACTAATTGTGTACTTAGTAAATTCAGTGAAATTTTTGGTGGCTTTAAATTTATATGAAAAAGACACTATTGACTTTTAGAATCAAAATTCATACTACTTTAGGATAATATTGCCTTGGGTTGTAATAAATTATGGTGGTCTGCTTTCTCTCTTGGGTAATATATGATCTGAAGGCATCTAATCTATTTACTCTTAAGCTATGAATATTCTTTATTATTTACAGAGACTTTAGATCTATTTACATAATGCAAAAAAGCACAGAACATGTACTTCTTATACTATTTTCATACACCATCCCTGTTTAAATGAAGCAGCAAATACAGCCAATTTCAAGGCATGTTACAATCTCAGCTCAAATTATGCAATGGTAGAATAGTAAAAAGATGTCCCTAAAGTTGCATCATCTTCAGGGTATGGGGGACCTCAGGTGTTAGAGAGCTGCTGAGAGGCAAAGTGGATGAACCAATGAACCAGTGTTGAATTTATATTGTACTTTTCACACAGGAAGATTATCTAGGCCTTCAGTACACCTACACGTGAATCCATGTGTGACATCTAACTCTTTTCACTTAATTTCCTTATGGACCATTTTTCTGGAAAGGAAGATGGAAAATTTCAGCCAGCCACAAATGGACTGAGACCCGCCAATCTCATTTCGCATTGAGCAGGTGTCCCAGACAGGGTTTGAAACCATGCTGCAAGGATTTAAAAAAAAGAAAGGAAAAGAAAAGAAAATACTATTAGAGCTAAACAGATGGCCCTGCATGGGAGCTTATGTAGTCAGCTTAAACTTGGTTTGTCTTAGTACCTGGGAGTAAGCCTTGCCTCATAATTCTTTGCAATTTAGTATTATTAAAATCCTCTCTTTAGCAGAAACTGCTAACATATCTAATAGAAGGCCCTCACTAATCATTTCTTTCTCAAGGAGGGAAAAAGTCTAAAGGCTAGGGCTTAAGGTCACAGGTCTATGAGAGAATGCTACAAGGTCTGTATTTTATCAAATGCAGGAACTATAAGAAGGCTTCACCTCTGAACCAGGTTGCTCTTTTTGAGGCCAAAAACAGAACTGTTCAAACCATTCTCTGCCTTTAATGGATAAAAACCTCTTTGAATATTTACTAGAATCCTCTAGCATGCCTGCATTACTTATATTAAAGATTTAAAGCAGAGTACTAGTGTTTGTTCTGAATAGTTACACCACTGTGCCAAGCACATGTAGGGTATTAGGGGAAAGGGCAAAAAGCCCTTGTTTAATAGAATTTACACGCTGTGTGAGTCTAAATTGTTTAGCTGCCTGATCGCATTTTTATAAAGCCTAAAATAAATATCCATAAATTTAACAGATATGCAGGAAAACTAGAAACTTGCTTGTTTTATTTCTTCAAAGGTCACACTTTTTTTCCCATGACATAACAGTAAATAGCATGATAAAATGCCTTCAATATACCATAAATTACTGAAAATAACCATTGACTTCTCAGGATAGTTTAGGATATAAATACTTTGAGATTAATGTTGTAGATGCTCTTCAACTATGAGCAAGAAATATTGCCAAACTCATAATTATTCAAATAAATCATGAATGTGATATAAATTAAAAATTAGAATAATATTAGCCACACTGTTAAAAAATGGTTCTAGAATAGTTTAGTTTACTCATAAAATACATTGGGTTGAAATTGTATAAATCTGAAAACCATTGACAGTGGACCCAGGACTACTATTAATGTATCTGAAAATCTGTTTGATTGTGTTCTCGGATTTTCCCTGTATTATAAGTTCCCTGGTTCAATGAAGCCACCTTAAAGATCAAGTAATCCTTCAGCCTACTAATGTGTTTACCAATTATTCTTATTTCATTTAAAATAAACAACAAAGCAGAAATAACCTTAAAAAGGTACAACGCCAGGGTCCTAGTACCTCTTCCAGAATATTTGTCTATGCTTTAATCTATATGCTCAGCCCTGACATGTCACAAGGCTACATGCCTATATGCCATCTAGATATAGCATATCTCCTGTTGAGTTTTTCTCAGTACCTCAATCGTTATAAACCAAGAGTCATCAATTTATGCCCCACAGCCAATTCTAGTCAGATGCCTGTTTTGTAAATAAAGTTTTATTGAATCTCAGGTATACATATTCATTTACCTATTGGCTATGGCTTCTTTTGCCCTATAACAGAGTAAAATAATAGTAGCAGAGACCATATGGCCCACAAAGCCAGAAGTATTTACTATGAGACCCTTTACAGAAAAAAAATTGTCAACCCATTATACATACAAGCTCAGAATCTCTTCCTAAAAATATGTGCCTCCTCTCCATTCCTACTACTCTAACTCTAATTTGGGGATTTATCATAATATGTTCATATTATTGCATAGCCTCCATTCTAATTATACATTGCTGCATAAGAGACTACCCCAAAACTTAGTGAGTTAAAATAACAATGATTATATTATGTCTTATGATTTGGTCAATCAGAAATTTGGGCAAGGCTCAGCTGAGCGATTCTTCTGCTCCATGTGACATAGCAAAAATCACTCATTGGAATTCATCTCGCAGTTGGGCTTGTCTTGAGGGTTTAAGACAGCTTTATTCACATGCCTGGTGTCTTGGTGAAGTACAGCTGGATAACTGGATTCAGCTGGACCCTTTTGCCTGCTCTATAGTCTCAGGGCCTCTCCACATTATCTCTTCAGCAGGATTGCTAGACTTCTTATATAGTAATTCAGGGCTCCAAGTTACCAAGTTGGAATCTGCCAGTCCTCTCTTAGAGGTTAGTTTCATCTCTTCTTCCATATACCAATCTAGATTCAAAGGAAAAGGAAATATACCCCTTATTTCAAGGGGAGGAATGTCAAAGAGCTTGTAGCAATCTTAAATCTATTACTACATCCTAACCAGCCACGCTGCCTCAACCCTTTTTTTATACTCTGGCCATATATTTCTAAAATAACAACTTCATTTGGTCTTTCTCCTCCCCAAAAACCTAAAATGGCTTCCTCTTGCCTATTTGGTTTAAACGCCCATCCTTGGTATTAAAAAGTCATTATATATAATACAGTTGTGCTGTAATAATCTTATTTTATATTAGTCAGAATATTTTTTCCTCTCTGCTTCAGGCATATCTCTGGCAATGATTGCATTTTTATTCCTCTGTCATTCCAGCTCCAACTGGTTAGGACTTCTCTAGTTCTATCTTCTCCTGAGTGGTGCTAGTCTTTGAGCTCCAGAAGCCATCTTCTCCCTTGTCACTCCAACCCAAGAGTTGTTGGCAGCTTCCTGGAGTAACTAATCTCTAAATTGCTACAATGTCTTCTATTTGTCACCCAAGCCCTTCATCAACTGTGAAGTCAATTCCCTGTGTTCAATGCTTTTTGTTTAAAATAAGCCAAAGTAGTTTTTCTGTTCTTCTGAT